TTTCTAAAATTGGTAACGCATTTGTATGTAGAAAGTCTATTGTCAGACTTAACTTTCCAATTAAGGGACTTCCAGCGATCCCGCTCGCGGGATTCGTATCCTGGGCCTTCAGTCTCGCACGCGAACACTTAACCTACTGGATCACTGAGCCGGCATCCAATGGTGTCAGTGTCTAACATCAACCAAATGATGACCTAACACCAATCGGTTCATGATCTCAATCAAAAACCTAATAAACTCCACCACCCCGATATTGTTCATTTACCAAGTTAACAAAAGTGTTTCATGTGTTCTCAACAGCAAGCAACTACATATATTGAATATTGTCACTTACAATGTGACTGTCTACAGAGAATTAGTATTTTTAGTAATGATTTTCACTTGGTTTGATATAAAGTACGTTCCCTGAATCAGTCATTAAGCTACAATAAATACAAAACAAAATTACTAAATTCTTTAATACTCACGTTACATATTATAACTAATTAAGAATTTTACTGTCTGTTTGTAAACTTTATAAGGTTTAGTGATGACAAAGGTGATAAATGATAGTTTATCAATAAATCTACTTTATCTGATAACTGATTGAAATATATATCAATCTTGATTCTTTTTTTCCTTTTTTTTTGAAGCTTATACAATTCTGGGAAAGTATTGTCCTAGGTGTTTCAATCTTATTTAGGGTCTATTTCAATTATTCTGTAATATACGAAATTAAACAGGAAATTCATCAGGGTTTTTGTTTTGTTTCCATATTCTTAAATAATCACTACGGGTGATAAGTTTCAAATCTAAAGATTCCGATTATATTAGTTGTTATTTAAAACTAATTTTCTACTGATTAAATACCTTTCGAGAAAACAATCTGTAGTTAGTAAACTTTTTCCCTTCCTTTTTTTTTCTTTTTTTGTTGTTGAAAATTTCACACTTTCATCAGTTCAAATGAATATATATATGTAAATGTTAAAGAGTTAGTAGGGTTTTATAAATTAATTGTGAAAAGCCGAGGGTAATTCTGAATGGTAATGTAGTAGCTGTGGATGGTGCTATAAATCCCGCTAAATGTATGAGCTGCTTCCAAATTATTTTGACAGTTCAACATATAGGTAGTACTCTCTAAATTAATCTTTTTTTAAAAAAATTGAAATATGATGTTTACAGGAAGTTACGTGTTATTTTTATTTCCTAACATTTCCTTTCCATTATACGTAGTTTAATGTGATGTTTTGCTATTTAAACATTCACCTAAGCCGAAGCGTAATACCGGCAAAAAGGTTTTAAGGTTTAATATATGAGCTCTGATGAACTTTTTGTTAGACACTGTGACGGATTGAACCAGAGAATCCGTAAGTAAATTGAATCGAACTGTCATAACATAATGAATTCATTCGTGGCCTAGTATCATAAACAATCAATTTTAGATCCATTCAAATTAATATTTGCGTTTACATTTTTGATTGTTTTGTAGATAATGAGTAACAGTAAAATGACAAACATTTTTGTATAATCTTTCGCTCGTCAGCTGTGTGTAACTCAATTCCTCTAACGTTTCTTATTTAAACATCACGGTTAGATTGAGTTGTTATTATTATTATATAAAATAATCTCTTCTCAATAAAAAATATATATCTTACCACTAAAATAATGGAGAGTAATCATGAATAATTATCTTGATAGTTAAAAGACTGGCCTTCCTTTATGACTTAATAAAAATAACAATATTGTGGTTTTAATATACATTATTAACAAATCTCATATATCAGATGGGTACTGTGGATACTAGAGTAGTTTCAATGGTTAAGATCATGAGTCAGTTGAAGCTAGACCACCATGGAAAACCTGGAAGCACTAGACGGCCGTTTGGTTCTATTGTGGGACTCCTCAGCAGCGCGCATCCACGACCTCGCTGAGGAGTCCCACAACAGAACCAAACGGCCGTCTAGTGCTTTCAGGTTTTCCATGGTGGTCTAGCTTCAACTGACTCATGATCTTAACCATTGAAATCTCATATAGATTGAAATTTGCACTCCGATGCATTGATCCGAGGCAATAAAATATAAGCCAATACAATTAATAACAAGTATCTTCATGATTTTGGGCAAATTATTTATCGATGATTAACTCCTAATGCATTTGGCATGTTAACGAACCTGTATGTCGACATACTACTTTGTTGAGAAGAAAACACAGTAAGACCTGTAATGTTTGATTACTTTAAATCTTAGACATTTTTAAACTGTACCACTGACTGTAGTGAATGTCACCGATACATTTTAATGTTATAGAAGGTAAAGTAATATTAATCAGTATTTTTTTTCTATATAACGATGAGAGATAATAGCATGAAAATTTAAAAAATTGATGACATAGCCTAGAATAATAAACGGCGAGTTTACTGATTTAGCGTTTTATTTATGTATTATTTTGTCTCATGCGTCTAACGGAAAACTTATCAGAATTTTTCTCAATTCTATTTATCCCTTCTTTGTTCTCACTTCCGTTTCCTATTACAGTCATGAACGTGAAATTATTATTTCTTTCTTTCTATTAAGTGAATTCAAACAAAATGTGGCCTAATGTAGGATGAAATACTTACTTACGCCTCTAACCCCTCGTAAAGGAGCATAGGCCACCCAATAGCACACTCCATCTAACCCTGTCTTGGAAATCCTTCCTAGTTGTCTCCAGTAGCTATTTATCTTTTTCATACCTGCTTCCATTTCCCAACGTGGTGTGTTCTTCGGCCTTTCTCTTTTCCGTCTCCAATCAGGATTCCAAGTAAGCACTTGCCTCGTGATGTAGTTTGACGGTTTCCTCAAGGTATGTTCTATCGACTTAAAGCGTGTGTCCATAATTTCCTCTTCAGTTGTAAGCTGGTTCGTCCTCTCTGGTTTATCCTCTCTCCTTTGCTGATGGTATCCGACCAACGTAAACAACTGTTTATATATACTTGTACCTTCTAGATGATGGTTTTAGTAGTTCTCCACGTTCTAGCTCCGTACAGTAGAACTCCCTTGATGTTCGTATTGAAGATTCTCACTTTAATATTGGTTGAAAGTTGTTTTGAGTTCCATGTGTTCTTCAATTGTAGGAATGCGACCCTTGCTTTGTCAATCCTCGCCTTTACGTTCGCATCCGATCCTCCTTGTTTATTGATGATGATTCCCAACCTAAATTAACTATTAATATAATATTGAGTAGTTTTTATCTACATAAAAATGAAACATATACTGATCATAAATGAGTGCGAAATGGTTAATGATTTTTCTACATACTTATGTGGTTGAGTTGAATAGAAAACGTTTTTTAGTTAAACGAAAAAATAACACCATAATTACTGAAAATCCTTTTGGGAATGTTTTTTAGTAGTCGAACGTCATACTACGGAAACAGGATATATTAGGTATAGGAATAATAGTGGTCGAAACTAAACGAATAAATTCTTTAAAGAAAAATATGGGTTTCGAAAATCATTCAACTTTGCTGACTTATGCAACGCAAAGATCTACGTGATATGATATAATAATCTACCTAACATATAACTAGAACAAATAAAATTCTTTCTTTATTTTGTTTGGAAAAATTCAAACCACCATTCAGTTTTAGTAACGAAATCACGAACTGACATAAGCTAGATTATTCATTGAAAATTACAACCATTGTATAGCTTGTTTTTGTTTTCATAATAAAGTACCCCTTAGTAATGATTATACATGACCTCACTGAGGATTGAATAAAGAAGTTTCATGTATCATTGTGAGAGCCTAACCTTTAAACTACTGAGATTTATTGATGATTTACATACCTAACTTTAGTCAACCTGGAAATAATGTAAAACAATTTTTCTATTGTATTCAGTGGATATCTGCTTCACAACCAACACCACTGGACTTTGCTCGGTAGAATCCTGAGAATGTGCTCTTGAATTAATCATTATTGAACACATGATAGTTGTTAGTATGGAAGATTGTAGGTGATATTGAATTCTGTTGAGGTCACTAGTAGACCCAGGTTGAACTCATTGTCTAAAGTTAAACTAGTAAACCATTGAATACTGGCTCATCATGCAATCAAATTATTTGAATACATTAACATACTTTCCTATTTATTTCAATACCATGTTCACATCAATAGAAACAATAATATTTTAAAGCCATATACTATAGATTATCATCTAAACGTGTATTTACGTTCCCATTATGAAACAGCTTACCTAATTTAAAATGTTATACAGTGAATATCTGTTTCAACGAATGACATTTATTAAATTGAAATCATGAGTCGATTGAAGCAAGACCACCATGGAAAACCTGGAAGCACTGGAAGGCCGTTTCATCCTAATATGGGACTCCTCAGTAGTGCGCATCCACGATCCCGCACCCCGCGAGATTCGAATCCAGGACCTATCGGTCTCGCGCCAGGTTTTCCATGGTGGTCTAGCTTCAATTGACTCATGATTCCAATCTATGAAATTTCTAAAATCTCCACAAACCCCTTCTGATAATTACATTTATATTGATCATATAAGAAATTCATGGTGGAAAGGAATCAACGAAAATCATTATAAAAAGTTAACAACAAAAAAAATTAATAATAACTATGTATATTGATTATACAGTAATAATAATTAGATATTAAAATAAATATAAAATAAATTACGCCAAGCTCTCCGAACTACATTTTGAAATGATTGGTTACAAATGTTATCCATAAAAAATTACTTTGTATTTATCCATTCACTTATTGGTTAGTGAATAAATGTGAAATAAATAAGAAAAAAATAATACTTAATAGGAAATAAATGGTTATACAATAATTACAATTCACATAATGTATCCTATCTATTTTGACAAATAATCTATAATATGAGACCAAATGGTTTCAATTGTATTACGACTTTTTGTTACAATGAACTACATATATATTTAATATTGTACTGTGAAAAGTAATGTGACCTATGTACATTAAAATGTCTATGTTCAATTAAAATATATTTTATAATGGAATCTAACTATTCTCCAGATATAGGCAAATTGATTATAAAAGTTTATGCAAGTTTACTATTATTATTTGGTCTACCTGGTAATATTATTAGCGCTATTATAATGGGAGGTGATCGGTCAAATCGTTTGACAACTCGTTTAATTATTATTATTCTAGCTATAGCCGATAATTTGGTCTTATTAACTGCTGTATTACGTTATTGGTTAATGGAAGTTTGTGGATGGGATTTACGTTCAACTGGTCCATTAACTTGTAAAATTCATGTTTTTGCTGTAGGATTTTCAACAGATTTTGCTGTTGGTGTATTATGTGCTGTTGCAGTCGAGCGGTTACTTGTTGTTACCCTACCTTATAAAGCATCTAAATTAGTAACATTAAATTCTGTGATAATTGGTATGATATGTTTTGCTTTAAGTGTAGCTATAAAAAATTCACCACACTTTTGGATGATGGGTGAACATAAATCACAACAATCTCAAATAGATTCAATAAATTTGTACAAAATTAATCAAACCAGAACGAGTGGGACCATTAACACACATAAAATGTTTATAGAAAACTCAACTAAAAAGGAATCATTTAAATGTACATTTGTATCAGAATATGAATTTATTTTTAGAATTTTTATGAAGTTCGATCTTATAAGTTTTGCAGTTCTTCCTTATTTAATATTATTTACAAGTAATGTAATTATTTATATAAAATTGCGTAATCAACGTCGGTTGATGAGATGTCATGCCAATACTACATCTATGGTTAGTAATACAACTAATACAAACATATCTAATAGTATACATTCAAGTAAACTACAACGTAAATTAGATCGAAAATCAATTAATCAACCAGAATCAACAAATCAACTACAATATGGAGATACACGATGCAAACGTTCAACTCGTCGACCAGAAGGTGTCATCAAATTATTAACGGCATTAACTATAATTCATGTTATTTGTACATTACCAGGCACAATTTTTACTTTTCTGTCATCTTATTTCAATTATTTTCACAATATGCCAAAACATACTCATGATCAAATTAAATATGGTTTAGTTATGTTAATATTTACAAATAATGCAATTAATTTCTTCGGTTATTGCATTTCTTGTACAACATTTCGTCAAACAATTATTCGTAGTTTAAATCATTTATGTCATTGGAAAACGAATTGTCATAAAAGAAAACAAAATAATGAAATACGGGATAATAATAACAATAATAATGGGAAATATAAACCAATGGACCAAAAAATCATAGATAATGTCAGCTTAATAAAAAAACAAGACCAATATACATGATATGCCTCAGTTATTTTAGGTGAAAGATGTTATTGAATTGGTTTCAGACCTTGAAAATTATTGATCTCATTACATTGAATAAAGTTGACCAATATATGAACAAACTAGCAATTATAGTTGAACTATATCATTATTATTCCCAGAGTGAGGTGCATTTACTATCATAAGTGTATTATTGTAATACAACTAAACATTTACCTGAAACAAATATTTAATAAATAAATATATTTTCAAATGTAAGAAACCCGGTTGTATTTATTGAATAAATTAAAGTGATATAATATAATCATTTATGCAAACACATTATGTTGTTTTGAAGAATATGAGCAGTTCATTTCATAACTAATTTGCAAGTAAACAACATTTTATTTAATTCATTTTTGTATTGGTTGTTTAAATGTTCCCATTGATGTTTAGGACTGTACGGATTGCCTTGATATTGCCTTAAGTCTCAAACTTTAGAATCACAGATGGATGGTGGCTAGTAGTGAAATCTGGACACGTTTCGTTCTATTTTAGACTTGACAGCTGGATTCATCTACATCCCAGAGTTGATGTTCAATTACAGGCCTAAACATCAAAGACTTACTAAAATTAGTTATCTAATGCATTAAAAAATATGGATAGAGAAGGTATATGAATAAATAAACGGATATGAAACAGGAATAATTCTAACATCAAGTGATTAATTTTGTGATAGTCGATGTTCAATTCTGTCTTATCGTATGATCATTAGATATATCAGAAGGGGTTTGTGGAGATTTTTAGAAATTTTCACAGATTGAAATCATGAGTCAGTTGAAGCTAGACCACCATTGAAAACCTGGAAGCACTGGACGGCACGAGCACTTAACCGTCCAGTGCTTCCAGGTTTTCAATGGTGGTCTAGCTTCAACTGACTCATGATTTCAATCTGTGAAAATTTCTAAAAATCTCCACAAACCCCTTCTGATAATAATCATCTGCTCACTAGTGACTGGCTTCAAGAGATACTCCTGGAGTTCTAGTGGGAAGCCGTTACCAGTGGAGTACAACCAGGTCTGTTGTGAGATATCAGCTCACTGAAGACAATGGTATATGGTGGCGCAACTTCGTGGATTGGTTGAAGTTAGACATTAACACCGTTGGATGCCGGCTCAGTGGTCTAATGGTTAAGTGCTCGCGCGCGAAGCCAGTAGGTTCTGGGTTCCAGCCCCGCGTGGTGCGGGATTGTGGATGCGCACTGATGATGTGTCCCATACTAGGACGAAACGGCCGTCCAGTGCTTCCAGGTTTTCATTAGATATATGCAAATACATTTGTTTATTCTTGTAATATTCACTTGAGTAAATAGTAAAACAAAATATATCCATGAATTTTTATGTAAGGAATTCATTTAATTCGATTTTCCATTAACACCTATAAATGTGGTTTTCCTTATTCAGAGTTTAGATATTCCAGTAGTTAATACATTTTCATCAGTGGTTAACTATATATATATATATATATATATATATATATATATATATACATATATATATATATATATATGATTTTATTTCAGTACATCAGTTTGATAATTTTTATGGGTTTGTATAAATCTGAATCCATTCTATTTAGCACTTACCTTATAATGTAGTGGATTTGTTGATTGTTATGTTTCACAAGTGACATTATTTAGTGACTGATTTCAGTTTCGGTACCACCACAGATCAATGAGCAAAAGACAGTTATTTCCTTGTACTATGACGCTAACACCACCTGCAGAATAAAAAAAATCCCCACTTACCACTTCATCCGGACTGTAATAATGTTCCTACTAGTGAATTACTTCAGAATGATTTCTCAACATTCTCGGAGCAAATGTGGTCGGTAGGGTTCAGACATGTCTAGAGTGAAATGGTTAAATGAACATATAGTTACATTGCTGTTTCTTGTTGTTGGTGTTATGCACAATCTTACAGTAACCTGGTGGTTTCAGAGGTTAATTATTCTTTAAAAACACCGAAGGTTCTGAGTTTAATATGTAAGTTGGTCATAGATGAAACGGCTGTTCAGTTCTTCCTAGTCTCAATGCTACTACAGCTAAGACCAATTCTTAAGGAATACCACCTACAAATGTTTCACTATGAAATTAGACTTTACCAATTCTATAAGAGCGGCAGTAAACCAATAACTTTCATAAAGCAATTAAGCTGGTACATTGCTAATATATATGTATATACGTATATAACTGACCTTGTTCTCTAAGCATTATATCAAAAGGACAAATAAATTGCCGTTTCCAATCAGATATAAGTTTCTAGACAATTATGTATATTTTGGTATTTTCAAGAGCCACAGAAATAATCTATGCTTTATTTGATTGCCGCCTAATTTAAGAAGTTATACTCAAAGTTTACTGCGGCAAGATAAAAAATGTTTAGTCGACTGCTACAGATTATGAAAAAAGAAAATTTTAACTACCTACAATAAAAATTTGTTACTGAAAGTGGATTTTGCTAAAATTTATTCAAATTAAGGAAGTGATATCAACTTGGAAAATGTGGAAAAAAGTTAAGGTAAACTGTCTACTGATTGTATGATCAAAGTTTACCTTAACCAAATTGAATATGTATAACTTCATCATGAGCATTTGTTTGCTAATAAAAATACCAAAGGTGGATTTTACTGATATTGCATTTGTTATATTCGGACGAGGATAAATGAATAGTAACCTCTAGCAATTATTGATGGACTAATAATATACGAATATTCTTAATGTATGACTATTAAGTAACTATATCATATGAATATTCATATTCCTTTCATCATAACCGTCTATTTGATCCATTGGTTACTGTTATATGATTTACTATCCTCAAGTTATTCTGAATCTATTAGTCACAGTTCCTCACAATCACAGCCAATTTCGGCTTGATCTTGTACGAATGTTATTTTCTATTTTATGGTGCGATGTGGTCTGATTTGTTTGTATTTAAATCCAGTATGTTTGAAATATACGATTCATATCGCGGAGGCTGAGATTAGCATCCTGGATTTAACAGAAAGAGCTAGGCGGAAAAGGTATCAATCGGCGTTCTAGACTGCTCATACTGGTGTATGAGTCATTAGTGTGATCGTGTGAGTCAACGTATCTAAATTGGTAAATCGTATTTGGCGATATTCGTATAAGCTCAGGAAATAACAATTAGTTCATAATAATTCATTAACCTGTAGATGTATAGATTATGAAGAGTAAAATCTAACTTAAGTTAAAATCAAAAATGTCTAAAGAAAATGTAAATATTCAGCAAAATATTTAATTATTTTAAACCCATCCATTTTCGAACATTGTCCATTTTTCAAATGAATGATTGATATAGGTGTGTAAGAATAGCGATTTTTTTTCACTGCTTAATAAAAGTGCAATATATAACATTTTCGAAACTCTTCCCGTTCATTGACTGTACCATTAACACATATAAGCGTAAAATTTACCTTAGCAACTTCACTTTCAACAGTTATAAAGCTATCTACACATATCAACTATGGATATGCTACTATAACGCATTCCTAATCTGCTTGATGAAACATAGCAAATAAAGTGAAAGTTAGAGACTGATATAAAATCTTTAGTGAAAATCATGCTTTTATATTCAGAATTCATCCACTAAATGAACGCCAAACAATGACATGCAAATGCGTTAAAAAATTTATGGGCAAATATCCATTTCACATAGGCGACATGTGAAATCTAACGTGAGCCGGTCAAAGTCTCATTCTATTTAACCATTTAAATAATTAAGGCATGTATTTTAATTTTAAGCGAACAAACTTGATATCGTTATCAAATAGCATAAACATGTTCCTTTGAAGTTTACAATGGAGTTCAAACACAGTTAAGAGTATTCCTAAAATTATCAAAATGAAAATAAAGACACGGAAATCTTTATTTCTATTAACCTCAATAAAACTAGGTGTGATAATTCATGATAAAAGACCATAGTATAAGAGTATCTATATATATAAATAACGGGAAATATTTTTCTCAATACATCTTTATCGACTTCAAAAAAACAATTTATGACAAATTCAGTAATATTAAGGTAAAGGGAAACTACTTCTATACGTGTTTATGAATAAAACTATCTTTGGCCAATGTCTTAAGAATGATCATCTACATGCTCTTACATACTCATTGGATTTAATTATTGAAAGTTTAGCCGGACAGGTATCAAAGTTGAAATAGGTCACCTTATTTTCTACATTGTCGTTTCGACTGTAATAGATGGAGAGCATATTTGATTTGATTATTATTGTTCTCATGGATTTAGGGTATTGACTTACAACTCAATGAATTTTTAGAATTTCAAATTAGATCGGTGCATAAATTGTGCAGTCATCTATTAAACACTAGAAGTGGTAGTTAATATGATTATTACTATTATTCTGATTTATATCTTCCCACAGAATTGGGAATAGGTCATCGATAATGGGTTCTTCTATGTGTGTATACTGATCCAACTGCTCCAGTGAGCTAGTTGCATAGGCCGTATTCAGAGGGCTTTATCCTTGCATGTTCGTGAACGTGTACCAGCATGGATGAGAAAAGGAGTTCCTAAATAGATAAACAGTACTATTCTTTCTCACTTGGTAGACAGTGAACTTCATATTAAAGTAGAGAAAGTTTCCTCTGTTTTATTTCAGGTTTCAAATGATATGCCTCAAGGACCTAGATTACGGCTACTTTACAGTGATGAAGCCCTCTAGATAAACTCCATAAAACCGAACTTATGTACACAGAAAAGGCATATCCAGCCTTTATATTAACCGTGGCCTACGACAGTTACCTAAATTAGATATTAAAAACCTGTTATCCCTCGTCCCAATTTTGTGTGTGTTTATATCTCTTTTATTCTCCACCTTCATCTCTCCTAATTCATATGAATTCTCTTTTATCGTAATCACCATGATAACACCACTCTTATTACTTATTATATTCACACAATAATAATATTATTATTACGATTACTACTATC